AGCCATCGCAAAACCGCAAACTCATGGAAACACAACAATGGAAATACGTTCACCAACAATAAACCCAACCACTCAACTCGACGCCGCTTGCCACACCAATTCAAGAAGGATGTGTGAGGAGACACCTAGCGGTATTTCGATGTATTCATAACCATTCGCGCGCAAAATTCAAATTTCTGAAACTTTTGGATTGCCCCACGTAGTTTGTACTGTTGATTCTGTTTGATACTGAAATACCTATTAACCCCTACATTCAGCGACCAACATGACTGGAAACCTGTAATATTCTTATGCACTTGAAACATTTAATCTTTACTGCCCATGTGCCGAACTACATCAGAGGCATGTGCATGGTCCATATGGCTGAGCATTGCATTTTTTAATATTAATACCATAACCCCCCACGTTACAATATGACCACCAGCCCCAAAATGCTGGAAGATTTAAAATTATAATTCCTTATTTCTGGATGAAAAACTGTTACACCTGAGTTAAAATCTGGTCCCCACACTGCAGTGAGGAGTGATTTGAAATTCCCTCCTTCCTCTGTTTTTTAATATTTGCAGTTTATGGTCTTTCCTTTAGTGTTTAGTTTATATAAGATTTTATTCATTTAAAGTTTACCTCCTTGTGTGGCCTATCTAAAAACATAAACACTGAAATATACAACCATATAATTTGTTTTATGTGGGTGTGAAGGTGTATAGCTTGAGGGTGCTTGAGAAGAAAATGCAGAGAATATATAAGGACTAAAGAAGAGGAAGTAAAGAAGTAAATGACAGAGAAGACTGCATAATGAGGAGTTTCATAATTATTACCCTTAGCTAATATTGTTGGGGTGATTAAATCAAGAATAGAAATGAGTGGGATGCAGGGAAAATGAGAAATCCATAAGAATGTTCAGCTGTTGCATAACATCAAAGGAAGGGACCACTTGGGAAACCTCAGTGCATATGTTGGAATATTAAAATGAATCTTACAGATATAGTGATGAACCTTTGGGTTCCATAAAAACAATTTTTAGACCAGTTAAAACATTAATCAGTTGTTCAAATAATGCCTTGAATCTTGGAGTTGGCTAATAATTACAATGAAAGGCTTGAACACACTATGTCTTACCATGAGAATTCCAAGCACCATGTCATAATTGTTGATGAGGAAAATAAGCTGTTCTTTGCGTTGTGGAAAGACTGCTGCCATGCGTAGGATGAAGCACTCAACTTCCTCTTGCAGTTCTGCCAATAGCCGGCTCACCAACTCTGAAGGAAAACTCTCACTAATCCCTACCAGAGCTGCACTAAACTCAGCATATCGCCGTGTGATCTGCACCATATGAATATCAAATTCTAAGAGAAATTTGTAAAATATAACACTACTGACTGTGTGTCGCATATTCACGGAACAGCTGGCCTAGTGTTGCAGTTTTTAATGCTAATGCCATTACTGTAAAATAATATATGGTCACCAATCACTTAGTACCAGGAGATTTAAAATCCTTTTTCCTGGACAGTAAAGGTGGATGATCATTAAATCGCTGTTCATCTGTGCGTTTTGGTAGGCTGCTGCAAACGTTCAAGCCCCATTCATCATATACCAGTAATATCTATGTCATCTATCCATAATTTCAGGTGAAGAAATAGATAGGCATTGTCCACTATGTTCACCAAAGCACTTCATCAGTTGCAACATCCCAAATATGTTATTTGATTACTTTAACAGTCTGCCTGCCTTATTAACATAATAAAAGCTTGGGCAGATCATTCAGCAAACTACTTGGCTACATGCCAGGAGACTAGTGTTTGATTCCTGGCAGGAATAGAATTTTCTCTTTACTTTTATGACCAGTCTAACTTTTGGGTCCACCTCTCCATGGTTCTAACATGAAGGTGATGACTCACCTCCATTTAGTGATGAGCTTGTGAATCTGTGGAGCTTAATCACCACTATCCTTATACAGCTTTATGGTATGATGCCTAGGCACTGGGATAACTTTACATTTATCATCATGTATGGGTACAATGCAACTTACATAGTGTGGTCCCATTTCCTTACTGAATTTTTTTGGGTCACAGTCTTTCACACTTTGAATGTTCAAACTGAAGATGTATTCAAACCTGAAACAATATAATGCAGCTGATACAGTCTCAGGAGTTCAATATAACAAATTTGCCATGTGAAATTTATAAAGTAGTCTTCTTGGGTTATGACACTTTGTAGTCTCATACATGAGTACCAGTGTTCTGCAGAACCTTCTGCCTTCATGAAGAATTCAGACCACTTCGTCAATAAGATTAAGGATTTGGAATCAACAGAATTACTCTCTGGTGAGTTTGAAATTGGAGACATGTTTAATGATGAAACACTATCCATAATCCAAAAGGTGATGGAGACAGAACAACTAAACTCATCCTCTCTGGATGCAATGCTGAAACTTCCATGTTTTACAGATGGCCATTTCTACAAATACATATGAACAAATGGAATGGAAATGGGCAATCACTGTTAGCTAAATCATACTGCATTACCATATAAAAATTAGAATTTGTAGTTTAATTAACAGAAAAAGATGTGATATGCATGATTTAAGAATGAGCAATGTCAGATCCCAAAGAAGTATGTGAATATGAAACTGAAAGGAAATCAACCAAGAGGCAATAGGAAGGGATGTCATAAAGATGAAGAGGAACGCCATGGGAAGAAACAGAGGAACTTGAGGAAAGACGGGGCAGGTGGAGAGTGTTGGTTGCTAGATAAACTATATAAAGTGCAAATGTCTAAGGGAGAAGATAACAAATCTTTCTGTATCCTTATCTCTAAGCAACTGACAAAAGGCCCCTCCACTCTGAACAGACCATATATGTACAGGGTTTGTCCGGAAAGTAATGCAATTAAGTTCATAAAACAAAAATTTATTCAAGATATCGTTACAGATGTTTAAAATTCTTCAAAGTACTCCCTTTGGGCATCCACACACTTGCCAGCGACTTTTCCATGGACAGTACGCATCCTGGAAGGCATCGACAGGGACCTCGTTTAGATCCTTTGTCACGGCAGTTTGGATCGCTTCAATGGTTCCAAAACGGGTTCCTTTCAGGGCGGTCTTGATCCTCGGGAACGAAAAGAAGTCTGCCGGAGCCAGGTCACGATTGTAGAAGGGCTCTCCAGGATGCGCAGAGCGGTGTGGCTGGGAGCGTTGTTGTGGTGCAGCTGCCAGGTAGCAGCGATATCCTTTCGAGTGCGGACGACCCTGTTTCTTAATCTGTCGAGCACTTCCACGTAGTAGGTAGCATTGACTATCTGCCCTTGGAGTACGAATTCTTTGCGGACCACACCCTTGGCATCAAAGAAGAAATGAGCATGGTTTTCACTTTCGATTTGCTCATTCTTGCCTTCTTGGGATGAGAGGACTCCGAGGTGTGCCATTTGGACCTTTGTCTCGAGGTCGTACTCAAAGGCCCATATTTCGTCGCCGGTAATGACACTGTCCAAAAAATCAGGTTTGTTTTGCACACATTCCAAAAGTTCACTCACGATCGTCACTCAGTTGTTCTTGTGGTCGCCAGTCAACAATTTGGGGACCAACTTGGCGCGCACACTTTCCGCATGTGCAAATTGTCGGTAACGATGTCATGCACAGTGGTTCTTGGAATACTGAGAGTCTATGCTATCATCCGAACACTCATTCGATGATCGGTAATTAGAAGATCATGAACACGAGACACATTTTTGTCACTTTTGCTGGCTGACAGCCATCCAGAGCGGGGGTCATCCTCCACCTCTTCCCGACCATTTTTAAACAACTTCAACCACATGGAGACTTGAGAATAGGAGAGAGCAGAGTCCCCATAAGCTTCCTGAATCATTTGGTGGGTGTCAGCGAGGCTTTTCAGTTTAGCACAGAACTTGATTGCGTAGCGTTGTTCGCTAGTTTTCTCCATTGCGCGTCATGACACAGGCACTAACAGGAGGTTTACAGAAACAGTGATCCTGACGCTCCCAGAGCTCAGAGCAAACTGAGCTTGGAAGCGTTGTGAAGCTATGTCCCCCCCCTTTCCCAACCGGCCCGAACGTGCTGTGACCAGGAGGAGCAGCAGCGGGAAAAAACAAATTGCATTACTTTCCGGACAAACCCTGTATAAGGGGCAGTCAAATGAAAACGGGTCACCACGCAAACCTCACACGGCGCACAAGTTGGTAACACTGGAATTTGCTTATGGTACAAACATCTGTTGGGGACTCGAGAATGCACAGTGACATACCTTTGCACACTGGTCGTTTGTTTACTGTGCTGGAAGTAAGGTTAGCGCTACGTGTGATCATCCAACATCAGTAATGGAAGCGGTTCCGTACATGCCATTGTGACAAAACACCTGCTGTACCACAAAATCTGCGCACAGTGGGTTCCACATCAACTCGTGGAGGAACAGAAGACTCAGAGAATGGCTGCATCACTGGGTCACTTGCAATGATACCATGAGGAAGAGTATGCTTTTGTGTCCTGTATTGCCACTGGGGACGAAACTTGGTGCCACCATTTTGACCCTGAGAGCAAATGGCAGAGCCAACAGTGGAAACATGTGAATTCTCCCCCACCGAAGAAATCCAAAGCTGTACACATAAGTTCTGGTAAAGTGATGATGACAACATTCTTCTTCAACTGCAAGGGCCCTCTGCTTGACGAATTTCTTGAGGATGGGGCCACAATCAGTGCACAGTGCTATGAAGACACTTTGCAGAAACTGAGACATGTCATAAAGCCAAAACGCCCTGGAATGCTATCAAACGACATTATCCTTCTTCTTGATATTGCGTGCCCCCACACTGCCAACTCTGTGAGGAATACACTACAGAGATTTGGTTGGGAAGTGCTTCAACATGCCCCCTACAGCCCAGATCTCTCCCCATGTGATTTTCACATTTTTGGACACCTGAAGAGAGACATTCATGGTCATCAGTTTGCATCAGACAAAGATGTGTGTGGCTGGGTAAAGATGTGGTTCCACAGACAGCCCACAAGCTGTTTCAAGGAAGGCACTGACCATCTTATCTCCCAGTGGGATAAATGTATTAACAGTTCTGGAGATTACTTTTGAGGTAAAAAATGTTGTTTAATGTGTTTTGGCTTCTGACCCGTTCTCATTTGACTGCCATTCATATATCATGTATATATATATAAGACTTTAACATTTTTACCATCTCTACTGATTCATGATGGAATATCACTGATTTTGCACAATATTCAATGCTTCTCACCTGACATCATCTGAACCTATTTGTTCCTTGGTTATCAACTGCATGGGTAATATAGAGTCAAATGACAGAAGGATGACTATGAATGATGTGTAAGCAGCTGGAGGACCAAGGAAAACCATGAAAAATCTCAGTTCATATTGAGTGAGTGCCTTCTGTATATACAGCTGGAATGCTAATCAGTATGCTATGATGTTTGATAAAACAAAATTCATAATTGATCATAGATTATAAATATGCTTATTTTTCATTACATTAAATACATACCGAGGCCATATAACAGCCTGGAGAGTTTTCCAATACTGATCCAGAGCTGGTACTGCTCGTTTGTGGCACATTAGTTGGTATCTCATTATAAGATGTACACATAAGAAGAGTGCAATAGCATCATAACAATCTTGTGTGAATGTCTCAAGGTTTTTCTGCATATAAAATTGAACCAAATAATTATGAATTAATTGTAAACAAAGAAATAATATGATAGTGTTTCTGTTTTAAGACATTCTTTTAACAGAGAGAAGGGAAGATACAGGAACTAATGTAATTTTGATTAAATATAAGAAACATATGGCTGGAATGTAAGTATTGTTTTTATTACTATAGATCAAGGAACACCAAAAAGATATTTTAGCATACAGACCTGTTGCTAGGCAGTGGCCACAAAATAAGCCGTTCTTAAGTAATGGTTCCACTGCAACAAAGGAACAGTGTTTTCTGTGTGGTCTGTGCAGAGATGTTATAAGCAGGAAAAGTCAGTGGATTGAGTGAGCAAGTGAGTTAGAGGCCTGCTACGGTGCAGTTGTGAGCTGTTGCTATTAGAAGCTGGTAGCTGAGGCCAGGCACAGTTCAGGAACTCAGAGGCAGGGGAACGTCCACCATTGGAAGCCATTACCAGAAGACTGGTGAAGATAGCAGGCTAAGTGTGTGTGCTAGTGAACTCTATAAAGTGTGTGAATTAGTGAAACTGTTATAATTAGCTATAGCCACGGATCTGTGAGAGTTCAGTAAATCCAATTACCAGTCCAAACCCCATCTATGGTCACTCTGTTAAATGATAATATGACAAATTACTCTTCATATTCTTGCCAATATCATGGTAGCCATGGCTGTTTAGGCAGTGTGCATGTATTTCCGTGCAGTTTCTGGATACAATCTGAATCATTCCCAGCCTTTTATTTTTCTTGTAATTATATGAGTAAACTTGAATGAATATGAATGATTCTTCCTTTGAGTTTTACTTACTGTTCACTGTGATATTCACAAGATCAACCACATTTTAAGTGAAGACCAGGTATTTCTAGTAACTTACATGTTTTCAAATTCATACATCATCTTAAAGGTGACTGTAAATTGTATACAGCACCGATTTTATCAGGTTGTTGAGATATTTAGAATTAGAAAACTTCAGAGGAGGGTAAACTGCCATAACCCACTTACTGCAGAGGTATGTCAGAAGGATTTGTTAATCACTCCTGGTAACACAACATAGATTAGCCCACCATCTGCGGTGTACTGTGTGTACAAGTAGCTGAACATGGCTACTTGACTGAAACGGAATGAAGTCCATGCTGTATTTTGGTGATTTTTGAATGCAAGAAATGTGCAAGTGGCAGAAAATCACTGCCAACTCATGAAAGTATAAGGTGAAGGTGTTATGAGTTGGCACAGTATAGTGAAATGGCATGCAGAATTCCAAGATTGAACAGGCAGTACAGAGAACTATGAACAGGGCCAGACCCATATCAGCAAGAACTGCAAGCAATTGTTTGCTCATGGAATATGTGATATGCAGGAAGAGAAGGCTTACAGAAAGTGAACTGCAACATGACATGAATCTGTCACACTGAACTATTGTCATAATCATTCAGAACTTTGGGTTTAACAATGTGTCCCCACACTGTGCAAGCACTAATGTTAAGACCACAAGAAATGAGGTGCTTGTGCTCTGTCATTTTTGCAGTGATATTCTTTCAGTGGTCAAGAATTTCTTGAGTGCATTGTCAGAGGAGACAACATGGGTTCATCACTATGCCCTGGAGACAAAAATGTGCCAACATGGAACATAAACGCCTCAGTTCCCCATGATCAGAAATGTTCAAATGTGTGAGGTCCACTGGCAAAGTGATGTTTACAGTGTTTTGGGATCATTAGAGGCATTTTGCTCAGGCATGATGCAACAAGGCACAACAATCAATGCAGTGACTTACTGTGCAACATACTAATACGTGGCCATTAAATGAAAACGGCATGCACTTATATGGAAAGTAACAATTTCAGATGCCCTCATTTACATCATTGCTGGCACCACTGCACACAATGAACCTTGGCTACAGATATCCAGTTTCCTTCTCCAACAATATTTATATCCTGATCCACACTGTCTACCCATCATAACTTTGGCCTTCCAATCTCTCTTCTTCCTTCTGATGTCAATTTTAACACTTTATTTGCTGGATGACTATCCTCCATTCTTCTTAAAGCGCTCTAATAGACTGCGCCATATCTCAAGTGATTAGTCACTGGCTTTCCACTGCGGCGGCCTGGGTTCAATCCTGGGTCTGATCAAGTGGCATTTGTGGTGGTCAAAGTGATGCTAGGGCAGGTTTTCTCCGAGTACTTCGGTTTCCCCTGCCAATCTTCATTCCACCAATTGCTCCACAATCACCCTCACCTATCATCTGGGGCTGGTACAGTAGGCCAGAAGTGGCCACAGTACAAGGGACTTAGTCCCACCCCACTAGCAATAAAAAAATCCTCCATTCTTACAGGATGGTCAATTAAATTCAGTCCATTAATTACTGAGTAAGTTTGGAGATCCCAGGTTCATTACACAGACCATACAGTTCATCATTGTATATATTTCATCAGTGTCCACCATCCACAACCCCAGAGATCAAATTGGATTGAAAGGGTGGGCAATAAATGAACCTTGCACCATGGCTATTCATGGTCTCTTACACATTCTCTTTCTAAAATTAGTCCTCTAGCAGTCCCAAACTTCAAATAAAACAGTGCTTCACCCAACAAATAATCAGAATTTGTCTTATATCCAGGGACCTTTCCTCCATCATTGTCAGGGTTGATACTTCTCATACATAGTCCAAAACATGTCTCATTGTGGTTTATATTAGTTACTTTAGTCTTCAGAAAGGATAATCAAGATTTAATTTGTGTGTATATGCCATAAAAACATTTACTGGCTATCATTATCACCTTAATTTCTTCATGTACATACTCATTTACAGTTTACAGATATCTGTTATCATATTTAACTGACAAATATAACATAATGCATGACAACTCACCACTAACAAGTTCATTGTTTTGCCAAATATCTGATTGAAGAGAGCCAGAGCTTGTTTGCCTTGTACCTTGAAGAATTCAGCCAAGAACAGATATTCCCGGCAAGCGTTATCTACCAAGGTATACTGTTCACTGCGAAACAGTGCTTCAAAAGGGTACTGCAACAAAAAGTAAAATATAAGTTGAAACTACAACACTATGACCGCATCCCTCCATCAGGTTTTCTCCTCCCACCCCCTGCTCATGATAAGGTAATTCACAGGAAACATTACAGCAGCCTGACTTTGCCAGGATTTGAATCACATACCTCCATTAGAATACAAAACTAATTTGAATAGAATAAGCTGACAAACACCAACACCTCCAGTGCGGCATGAGGCACAATGACAGGAGCTTCCAGCTATATCATCAGCATATCTTTATATAAACTAACACTCACCCTGTTCTCAGTCTTATGTGCAGCATGAGGCACAATTACAGGAGCCTCCAGTTGTGCACTCAGCACATCTCCACGGCTGCCAATTGTGAACACAGTACTCTTGTGCTTCAGAGGTGTTTTATAAAAGAGTCCACTGCCACGTGATGCTCCCATATCCTCAATGCCCATAAGATCATCTTTTGTTGCTGCTTCTTCGTAACGTAACTTGGCAAGCCGTGATGAATAGGACTTGAAATATGAGTAATAGATCTTGCTCATTGTATCCACATACTCACTGCACACCTCTTGCGCTACACTCTGCTCATTTGACATTACAAATTCAAATAAGAACCTGTAAATATGTGATATTTTACTGTTCTAGAATTTCAGTTAAGACCAATAACATGGCATTATTTTCTCACTTCATGTCCTATTGCCGTTTCTGATACACAACAACCATACAGGAACTGACAGTTGTTTTTGTATAGAAATTGGCAACACTGGTGAGTTATATGACTACATGGTTCAGCAGCTTTGTGTCAATAGGTCACTGGGATTCATAAATTCCAAATAATATAACATGAATATAGAAATTCATTATTCAAGCAATAACCAACTGTGTTTTGTTGGTGGAGTGTTGTCATTTTGTGGAAAAAAAAATGTTAAAACAGATAATCAATATTAAATTTTTAGTGAAATTGGAATAATATGGCACTGATGTTTACAGTGCATTAGAGAATTTATGAAGAAAGAAAAATGTGTAGAACACTGGTTCATATGTGGGTTAAGTGATTTCTAGATGGAAGAGATGATGTAGCAGGAGAAAGATATGGCTATCCAACAACTTGTGACAACAAACGTGAAGACTGGTCATCACTTCATTGTCTGGACAAGCAAATGAACATTAACATAGGCATAGTGGTGCAAAACTTGACTAAACAACATAAAGAAAGTATATTCCAAAATGGACTATTAAACCTGAGTGCTCACCATGAAAATGAGGGGGAGAGAAATTTGCTAAAACCCTTCAGGAAGACTGCTGGAAGGTCCGATCATTTGAAAATAAAAATAAAAAAGTAACCGGGTCTTCCGGCATAACACAAACTAAATACCAGTCTTGAGAGGATAAATCTTGAGGTTCTGAGACTGAAAAGAGTTTAAATTATGGAATCCAAGATGAAAACCATGATGCTCTACTTTTCTGATAGCAAAGCAATTTTCACCTTAAATCTGGTCCTCACACAAAAGAAAACACATACAGATCTGGCTTCGTAAGTTAATTTTGCATTATGAAAATAAGCCTTCCTACATATAGCGCTTTCTGATTTTAAATAAATACCTGCAATAAGAAATATACAATTTTAACTACACTCTATCCTCTCCTATGCTAAATTGCAGATTCACATACACTCACACACTCAAACAAAAAATACCACCCAGACACATAGGAGTTGGGGTAATGTGTTCAGTATAGTGACTGGCTACAGACTGAATGTCCAAGGGATTGGAGTTCAAGTCCCAGTGGAGGCAAGAATTTTCAGTTCTCTATGTTGTCCAGACTGGTTCTGGGGCCCACCCACCCTCCTATCCAATGGGTACCAGGGGCGCTTTCCCTGGGGATAAAGCAACCGGGGCATGAAGCTGACCACTCACCTCCAACTAGTGCAGCAAGAAAACCTGGGTCTATACATCCACTCCCCCCGTACATCTTTATGGCATAGTGCTTAGTGCGTAGTTAAGCACAGGGAGAACTTGACCCAGACAAATACACATATACGTATATATTGTGGATATAATGTGAGGAAATTTTACTAGGTGGCTTACATGTTTTTGCTATGTTACATCACTTTCAGCATCTGAACTATGACTGATGAATACTGAACTGGAAGGAAGCAAGGTTTTATCCTACCATCTGCCTGGAGAGCCTGAGGAAAACCATGATTAACCTTATGATAGCTTCGGTTGGTCAAGATTCAAACTGCGCACTTCTCAAATACAAGTCTATAGCATTACCACTAAACCAGCCTACTGCGTTATGACTGATAACAGTGTTGATCAAAGGTATTTGTCAGTAACTTTAAGTAATGTAATTTATTAATTTTAAAATTTATTTAATTTCCATAGAAACTACAGGTAGCACACTGTTATACACAGATCTCAGTTGTAGTTACATGGGCTAGCCTCACTGAAACAAATGTTGTTTGAAGATATAAGAGTATTATTGTATGAACTCACTTGTGCTTGAGCAGTGTGTTCTGGAACACCTGGTAGTTAGTCATCGGCTTGCGGAACTTATATACGTGGTCCAACAGAAATGTCCGAATCTTTGTAACTGCTTTTACTTTTAGTTTCTCCAAGATATCTTTCACATCATGACATGCCTTTGTTTCTGCAACAGTACCAATAAACATTAAAACAAACGTACATCTATGCCTTTGTAATCACAGATCAGGTATTTTTAACATTCATAGCTATTAGGCTATTGGTTGGTCAGCTGAACATAGAATGTTTCATAATCATATCCAAAGACATATAAGTAACTAGAGTTGCTTTTTTTAGCCGTTCAAGAGAGCTTTTTATGGAATCTGAAAAATCAAAATTATAAGGCATTAAATTACAGTACTTAACATTATATATCTTGGAAAAAAGTAATAAAAACAGAGTAAGACGAAATTAACACATTTTAAAAATGAACAAAGATGGGATGGGCTCAATATTATCAGGGAGACAAGTGAGACCGAGCTCCATCCTAACAATGTGAACAGGGAGGATGGCGTCTGTTTAAGTACCATATTTTCTGGACCGTACTAAATGAAACACCAAGGCAGCATTAAGTTTTTCCTGGTCATACTCATAGAATCACAAAAAAATAATCATTATTGTCACTAATGTTAGTGTAGGGACTTTCACTTTCTTCTTTCAAATAACATCAGGGGCACTGCTAATACTATACATCTTGAAAGACTTCACAATTTTCTCATGTTTCACTGACCCATGAATATTTTATCCATTAGCAAACCTGTGATACAGCTGGCTGCTTCATTTGTCCTGTTAGTGTCAAATCATGATTGGTACCTCCATCCATTTGGTCCACTCCTTATGTATGAATGCTTTGAATAATTTCTTAAACAAGACATCCAGTGGCTGCAACGGGCTACTAATACCTCGTAGAGTCACAGCTAATTGCATGTCTAATTCCTTAACTGCCCTTTATATTGCCTCTGTTGTGTGTGCCCTACACTGGTCACACACTAGAAGGGCTGGCTTCTTCAGTATGCCACCTGGATGTTTTGCCCATACTCTCTCTAGCCATGACTTCAGTCCATTTTTGTCTATCCATCCTTTAAAATGAACGTGCAAAAGAATTCCTCACAAAATTTTACCTTTGTTTTTTGTTTCAATATTAACAATATAGGCAGTTTTGTCCCATCAGCACAACTCACTAATATGGCAGTGTAATGTGTTCTCTTATGGCCAGAAGTTTTAAACGTGATCCATTCAGCACCTTTTATGTCCTGTTTGATGGAACACTGAAAGTTAAAGCAACTTTGTCCATGTTGCCGATCTGACCAAGCTGAAATCATTTCTCCCTTGCAGCAATAAAATTTCTGAAACTAAAAAATTTTGGGTTTTTAGTTGGCTGAAATCTTTTGTGCTGTCCTAGTTCAAGGACATATGCTGAAGCCATGCCTCTTCATAAATCTGTAGTACCAAGAATTTTTACCAGAAAAATCATGAAGCATATGCAGCTGCCCACCACCTTGCTCCAAATAGTGTCATTTTTGTAGACATGGAACTTCCATTGTTTGTATGATGGTAGCTATTTTTTCACTTCTAGTTGAGGCTGTTCTATAGCATGCATATAAAAAAAGTGTGTTTGTTCTGGTCTAATTTCTGTACTCCATTTGCTTTCTCCATTCACATATTTTCTCAGTTGTTGAAGGAGCAAAATGTAATTTGGCTGCCCAGTTTCCATGCTTTTTGACATAGTGAATTGCATTTAATATTGAACATACAAGGTATGAAATCCTCTTCTGTTTGTACACATTTTGACAGGATAACAAATTTAACAATGACTGCACTATTTCTTGGTGATAATCATCAGTCACACGATCATCATGTGTGTTCTTTCCAGCAAGCAGGATGAAACTGAGTTTGCTTTAAAGGTCATTCTTCTGTACCTTTGGAACATAAGACAGGAATTTTAGGCTAAATTTTCTGTGGAATAAAGTGTGTATTATTGTCCAGAAAATTGGTAAGTCATGGAAACGTCTCAGCTTCTGTGTGAAGGAATGCAAAAGGACTCTCTTGTAGGTTTCTTGTGACATGGTTCTACCATGTGGTTTGCCCTGTGCACACAGTCATTTTCAGGGCACCCATCTTCTAGTCTTCCCTGGCCATTTTGGCAGCAGCTTATTACCACACCCTTTTGGATTTTTGGTTCTTTCAACTCTCTTGCTCCGATTATCCCTGCTCAGACTCTACTCTAGACATCATACATAAGACTTATCTCCACTTCTAACTTCACTCAGCATACAACTGTCCCTTTTCAGGTCCCAGCTGAAGTACCATTTCCTATGCTCCCATTGGCTCTGACAGAGTCCGCTTACAGACAATGGTCACTCTTCCATTGGCTCCCTTACAGTTCCTTTGATAATATGGCTTGCCTGTATCAGGCCTGAATGCCCACGGTATGCACCATTCGCTCTGCTTGCCACTTGCGTCTGTCACATTTCTTGTTTGGCTCACTCTTCAACCCTGAAGATGGATGAGATGCACTGCTTCAAAATGCTGGGTTGTCTGTGAACTACAGTGTTACATCCCAGAAGATCATACTTTTCATAAAAGACACTCCCCCTTCTACAAGATTAAATCCTGGAAGAAGTTTTGATATTTTGATAATAATCTGCTGATATGGACTGATGAGGTACAGAGTACAATAAATCTGAACTGCTTAAACCATCATCAATCAACATCACCTCCAAGATATGGTCAGACATTCTGTCCAGTCATACCACATCTCTGGGATGTTTCTAAGCTCATGCTTAGACTATGCTTGTATTTTGTCTTGTCATCAACAACTGGCAGTCCTATGGTCTTCCATGGTCTTTCTTTCGCCAAAGAATGCATTTTATACTTTGGTATACACCAAAGGAGCTAAGATAATACTGCAAAACCAGGTAGGGTTTCATTTAAAGCCTTCATGGGGTAACATGCTTTAACATAAAATTGTGTCTTATCACTTCTTGTTGTGGAATAGGTGTCACTATGGTTGCAAAAGTAGACATCAAAACCACAAGGATTTGCACACCATCAACATCTCCGCACGGTAAGACTATGTAATCAAGATCTCACTATAAATACCTGTGATTTCAGCACAGACATGAGGTTTCCCATTAGATGAAAATGTTATATTACCTTTGGCATACTCTAAGGATGTGTTACCCATTCATAGCAAACCTTCAGATGCAAGAAATTCCACATAAATGATATTTCCCAAATTATGTTCTTTTTTGACACTTCATAACAGTGGCAAGAATTTGAGTTTGTGGTTTTCCATTATCCTGTCCAGTTGAACTTTCTGTCATTGTTAAGGGACCATTCTGGTCTCATGAAAGTGACTTCAGAGATGAGAAACTGCACTGAAATTGAGATGACCAGTGATTGCCAGAGGTCAGATCTCTCTCTCTCTTATCTTTGACCTTGTCCAAGAAGGCTTCTGTAAATTCAACACTGTTCATCTTCCAGGTAAATTAGGTAGTGTACTTTACAGGCTGTTGCTCTCCCTTACTACATCAGTATTATGTGCCTGTTTTAGCTAACTCTGCTGAAAGTTGCTGTTGTGCATATAAACTGGTTGTACTGAAGATTATTTATATAAAACGTTAATACAAGATGTTCCAGGTATTCAGTCAGGTAGTGGTTATCTTGGAAATATCTTATTCATCACCATCTGGTGATTTTTTCCCCTCACTCCCACTTTGGAGCATAGGGCTCATTTCTCAGTTTCATTGATCATTTTTACAGACAGTAGAACTCTTTGGATGGGTTATCAGCTCTTTGCAAGGCCTCTACCTAAACACATGACAACATAAACACAGAATAAACGCACACACACACACACACCAAACATCCATGCCTTGTGTGGGGTTCGAACCCATGATCTTGGCTTCTGAGCGAGCGAAGACACTACGTGCCTTAAATCGCTTGGCTACCATGACTGGTGCCTTCTGGTGACGATTCTGATAAACTCAGTTTGGGTAGATCAGTGAAACCCCCATTTAATATTTAACTTAAGGTTCTCCCTCGTTTAGTGTCTGTTTTCAGTTAAATGATACTGTACGAGGGGGTACCCAAAAGAAACTGAACTTATTTTTTTTAACTTATTTATTCAAATTTTAAGCACAAACCTTCAATCCCCTTCAAAGTACTCTCCACTTACACTAATACACTTGTCTAGGCTTTTATTCCATTTTTCAAAACACTGTCTAAATTCATCTTTTGAGATGCTTGACAGCGCCTCCGTCGTTTTTTCTTTCATGTCTCTTTTCATTCGAGGAAACAAAAAAAGTCGGCCGGGGCAAGATCGCGTGA